TCAGGAACTTGAAAGACCAGCTAACCCCCTAACACTTGTGTCGAGAACTTGAAAGACCAGCTAACCCCCTAACACTTGTGTCGAGAACTTGAAAGCCTAACTAAGCCCCCTGGCACTCGAGTCAGCAGCATATAATCTGTAATCCTTATCAGCCCTGATACTGGAGACATGAACTGGTCAATGTTCCCAGCCCCTGACACTGAAGACATGAAATAGTCAATGTTCCCAGCCCCCTGACACTGGAGACATGAACTGGTCAATGTTTTCAGCCCCCTGACACTAGAGACATGAACTGGTCAATGTTCCCAGCCCCCTGACTCTAGAGACTGAACTGGTCAATGTTCCCAGCCCCTGACACTGGAAACATGAACTGGTCAATGTTCCCAGCCCCTGATACTGAAGACATGAAATAGTCAATGTTCCCAGCCCCCTGACACTAGAGACATGAACTGGTCAATGTTCCCAGCCCCTGACACTGAAGACATGAAATAGTCAATGTTCTCAGCCCCTGATACTGAAGACATGAAATAGTCAATGTTCCCAGCCCCCTGACACTAGAGACATGAACTGGTCAATGTTCCCAGCCCCTGACACTGAAGACATGAAATAGTCAATGTTCTCAGCCCCCTGACACTAGAGACATGAACTGGTCAATGTTCCCAGCCCCTGTCACTGAAGACATGAACTGGTCTATGTTCCCAGCCCCCTGACACTAGAGACTGAACTGGTCAATGTTCCCAGCCCCCTGACACTAGAGTTAACAGTTATGACTCATTTATGCCCTGGAGTGTTGAGTTAACACCAAGTTTTAGGGTTCAAATCCATACACTGTGGTGTTTACTGGTGTGGTTCGAGTATGTATAGGTTTGTTGCAAGTCAGTGCTGTCATTTCTAGCCAGATTGTTAGTCTGCTGTACTTATTTGTAGATGTCACTGTTGATGATTACATGTTTATTTGTTGTGTTTATTTGTGATATTTTATACTTGTCTTAGCATATCAAACAGAAGTTGTGTGGATAACAAGAGAACATCAAACAGCTGATGTAAATATAAAACATCTCAGTTTAAAGCAAGTTCAACACTTTATTACATACCTGGGGAGCATCTTGAAACATGATGGCAGAATAGGCAGAGCAATTGAACCAAGAAGCCAACAAATCATGTCTCAACTGACTGATTCCAATGTTGACACATCTGGCTATCCCAGTAGAGACAAAAAGACAAATGATAAATACAGTCTTCATACCAGCCTTGTGCAATCAGTGTCAGAAAAGACATTGACTAAATCAAGAACACACAAGAAAACTGCCCACCTGCAAAATGAGATGTTTGTAAAAGGCAATATTTATGAAAAAACTAGAAAAGGATCATGTGAGAAACAAAGTTACATAAACCTGTAATTAAATTTATTGAAAAACAAAGATTGAAATGGTTTGACTATTTAGTTATAATAAATGCATGGATGCATTCAGGTAAACACCTAGTGGTAGGGGATGACCAAAAAGAAGATGGATGGAAGGAGTCATTGATACCTTTGGATCTCCACAGTATACCAGGCAAGCAAATGTGCCCAGCTCGGATACAGATTATCTCTTTACCTGCAACGCCTAACAGAACAAAGCAGAATATTAACAAAAGAAAAATAAGACTAGCACAGTTGAGTGGTAAGAGCAGAACCTAGCCTTCTCAGATGCAGGCTAAAAAAACATGATGCTCTGTGTGCATGTAGAATCCATAGCAGTTGGAAATCCTAAAGAGTTAGGCTTCAGGGCCACTGCTGAGGCAAGATTGTTGAGAAAGATAACCTGGTCACACTATCTCCTATTGAATCTTTCTAGAAGAAGTCAGACTACCCACATTGAGATTTGACCCATTGGATTGAATATTTCTAGAGAAATCCCGTTTAGTTATGATATAAATGCTTGCTGGATTCACACTCGAAACTTGCCTGGGCGAATGGAGTTGGGGTTGCTTGTCTGCTACACATGGATCTTGTCTCAACTTATCCATGCAGGCTGATACTGGTCTCAGCTTATCCATACAAACTGCTGATAGTCTCAACTTATCCATAATGACTGCTGATAGTTTCAACTTATCCATAATGACTGCTGATAGTCTCAACTTATCCACACAGAATGCTGATAGTCTCAACTTATCCATACAGACTGCTGATAGTCTCAACTTTTCCATACAGACTGCTGATAGTCTCAACTTATCCATACAGACTGCTGATAGTCTCAACTTATCCATAATGACTGCTGATAGTCTCAACTTATCCATACAGACTGCTGATAGTCTCAACTTATCCATACAGACTGCTGATAGTCTCAATTAATCCATACATACTGACACTGGTCTCAACTAATCCATACAGACTGATTGAATAGTCTGAACATATGTTGACAGTCTGTACCAACAGTCTCAAGCTAACATATGTTGACAGTCTGTACCAACAGTCTCAAGCTAACATATGTTGACAGTCTGTACCAACAGTCTCAAGCTAACATATGTTGACAGTCTGTACCAACAGTCTCAAGCTAACATATGTTGACAGTCTGTACCAACAGTCTCAAGCTAACATATGTTGACAGTCTGTACCAACAGTCTCAAGCTAACATATGTTGACAGCCTGTACCAACAGTCTCAAGCTAACATATGTTGACAGTCTGTACCAACAGTCTCAACTTATCCATGCAAACTGCCAAGGTCGTTATCTGTGCAGACTATGCTAACATGCCTATTAATCGGTGCCTGTAGAGTTTAGACCAGCTGTTATCTTATTTATTGTTCAGTTTCTGAGTATTTGTTACTGGAATGTATGCAGACTTTATTTGTTGATAGCTGTTTTTAATTTGTGTTTGTTGTTAGTAGCCAAGAGAGAATTGTTAAGATGGTGGTAGTTTTCCCATCTTGTGGTCTGTAGACAGTCTCGATGTAATCAAGTTTTTTTTATGAAGCCGCACAAGACACAGTCTTGGCATAATCTTGGTTTCTTTTGAAACTACACTAGACAGAGACTTGATATAATCTTGGTTTCTTGTGAAACTACACTAGACATAGTCTTGATATAATCTAGGTTTCTTGTGGAACTACACTAGACATAGTCTTGATATAATCTAGGTTTCTTGTGAAACTACACTAGATATAGTCTTGATATAATCTAGGTTTCTTATGAAACTAGACAGTCTTGATATAATCTAGGTTTCTTGTGAAACTACACTAGACATTAGTCTTGATATAATCTAAGTTTCTTGTGAAACTGCACTAGACATAGTCTTGATATAATCTAGGTTTCTTGTGAAACTACACAAGACATAGTCTTGGTATACTCTAGGTTTCTTGTGAAACTACACTAGACATAGTCTTGATATAATCTAGGTTTCTTGGAAAACTACATTAGACAGTCTTGATATAATCTAGGTTTCTTGTGAAACTACACTAGACATAGTCTTGATATAATCTAGGTTTCTTGGAAAACTACATTAGACAGTCTTGATATAATCTAGGTTTCTTGTGAAACTACACTAGACAAAGTCTTGATATAATGTAGATTTCTTGTGAAACTACACTATAGTCTTGATATAATCTTGGTTTCTTGTGAAACTACACTAGACATAGTCTTGAAATAATCTTGGTTCCTTGTGAAACTACACTAGACAGTCTTGAAATAATCTTTGTTCCTTGTGAAACAACACTAGACATAGTTTTGATATAGATGTCTTGTGAAACTACACTAGACAAAGTCTTGATATAATCTTGATTTCTTGTGAAACTACACAAGACATAGTCTTGATATAATCTAGGTTTCTTGTGAAACTACACAAGACATAGTCTTGATATAATCTAGGTTTCTTGTGAAACTACACAAGACATAGTCTTGATATAATCTAGGTTTCTTGTGAAACTACACAAGACATAGTCATGATATAATCTAGGTTTCTTGTGAAACTACACAAGACATAGTCTTGATATAATCTAGGTTTCTTGTGAAACTACACTAGACAGTCTTGATATAATCTAGGTTTCTTGTGAAACTACACAAGACATAGTCTTGATATAATCTAGGTTTCTTGTGAAACTACACTAGACATAGTCTTGATATAATCTTGGTTTCTTGTGAAACTACACTAGACATAGTCTTGAAATAATCTTGGTTCCTTGTGAAACAACTCTAGACATAGTTTTGATATAGATGTCTTGTGAAACTACACTAGACAAAGTCTTGATATAATCTAGGTTTCTTGGGAAACTACACAAGATATAGTCTTGATATAATCTAGGTTTTTTGTGTAAAATTACACTAGACATACATAGTCTTGATAAAATCTTTGTTTCTTGTGAGACTACACTAGACATAGTTTTGATATTATTTGGTTTCTAATGAAACCACACTAAACAGTCTTGATATTATCTAGATTTCTTGTAAAACTACACTAGACGTAGTCTTGATGTAATCTTGATTTCTTTTGAAACCAAACCAGACATAGTTTTGATATAGATGTCTTGTGAAACTACACTAGACAAAGTCTTGATATAATGTAGATTTCTTGTGAAACTACACTATAGTCTTGATATAATCTAGGTTTCTTGTGAAACTACACTAGACATAGTTTTGATATTATCTAGTTTCATGTGAAACCACACTGTTTTGATATGAAACTACTATATTGTTAAATACAAGTCTTGCTGAACTAATTATCCTGCAAGATACAATTTGAATTCATTCCTACAACTGTAAGAATGAAACTGCAGTCTCAAGTATGCAGATTAAAACGTATGAGGCAGGGATGATCTGCACTCATGTACAATTAAAGTAAAGAACCAGAAGTTGTTTTTATAATTTAGAGATATTTTATAGACAGAATTTCTAGATGTAAGTATTTTATAGGTAACTTTGGATAATGAAATTAATCTAAAATGTTTTGTCAAATTAAAGGGAATAGCCCTCATCATATCTGCTATCATGTTGATTCATTGTTTTCTGCTTGTCCTCATTTCAGTTGCTGCCAGAAAGGAAGTTATTCGCAACAAAATCCGAGCAATTGGCAAGATGGCCAGAGTTTTCACTGTCTTGAGGTGATTGTTTTGTTCTTGTTTGTTTTATTTTATTTTTGTTTTCAGTTGATCCCTCCCCCTGTTTATCAATGAGTGCATGACAGACACACAGTTCAATTGGTCTGGTGTCAGTAATGTTGCAACATGTGGCACAATCTGGTTGTTGTATGAAGGCTGACTAGAGTGTTTGTATTAGCCACATGAGTTTATTGGTTTAGCTGTATACAGCGGATCAGCATGGCACGAGGTCAGTAACCCATCATTGCTCTGTTCTACTCAAGGCCTTAGTCCAGAGAATCTCAGCGCAGTGCTCAGACTCCCTACCACCAGCGAGGATCCTGAAATACATTGGGTAGATTTTTAACTCCAAATTTTGCCCAGGCAGTGCTGTTAGGCTACCTTTTTGTTTCCCCCCAACTGCCAGGGATGTTTATTTTGTATGTTTTTATGTGAGCAACAATACACACAAGTGTGAGGTCAGTGAACACTGAGGAAGGATGGGAAATCACATTTTTAAGAAATGGTTAAAGAAGATTTTGGTTACTGTATTTAAATTCTACTTGAATGAATGTCTGCATGAATTGGCATGTGGCATTTTAGGTGTGATGGTATGTGGCCTGTTAGCTAGACATAGGTGTTTATTATATAATTGTTTTCTAATGTTTGGAACCTTTTCTAGTGGACATAGTGGGGGTTTTTTTTAAAAATGATTATTGTCTAATTTAGAAACTTTTTCTGTTAACAGAGAAGAGAGTGAAAGTGTTCTGCAGTTGAAAGGCCTGACACCCAATGGTTTGCTGCCCCTGGGTGCTCTCTCTGGAGGAAAAGACACACTCAGCAGTGGTAAGTTGCCAGTCCCACTTTCATTTTACTTGAAGCTCTGTAGGAACCTGTGTCCTCTTGCGCACTTTTATTCTGCAGTGGAGCATAGGCTCTCAACCAACACAGACCAAATTTTCCAGTCCATTTCCATCACATGCAGCTGTCTTGTTAACCTCACGCTCTAGTTACATTCTCACTGCATGCTTTGTAGGTGTGTGGATCTGCCTTTATTTCTTTGGCTCTCTGTATTGTATTAGTATTAAAGGCTTTCTGTCCATCTCTGATGTTGGAAAAGTTGGATTTCAGTCTGGTTCATTGCCTGTGAGGTTTCCTATCATCTCCCATGTTTAGTATTAAAGCAGTCTGGTCCAGTATTGGAGAATTTAGATTATTTGTCTGGTCCATTTTTGGAGAAGGTGGTTTTCTGCCTGGTCCCTTGTTGGAGAAGGTGGTTATCTGCTTGGTCCCTTGTTGGAGAAGGTGGTTATCTGCCTGGACCATTGTTGGAGAAAGTGGTTATCTGTCTGGTCCCTTGTTGGAGAAGGTGGTTATCTGACTGGTCCCTTGTTGGAGAAGGTAGTTTTCTGACTGGTCCCTTGTTAGTGAGGTTTCCTATCATCCGCCATCTTGTTGCAAGCTTAACAAAAGGAAAACATCCCTGAAATCCACAGCTCATAGTGTCACACCAAGCACTTAACTCACTAGATGGGCGATGGAACCTTTGTAATCCTGGTTAAGAAATTGGGAATTTGCATCACCAAACCTATGATCAGAGACAAATAACATTTGGGAGCATCAATGGCTAGCCTGCTGATATTTCTTGTATAGATGATGTATACGACATATCTCTTGCTGTGTCGTCAGTATTTCATGTTTAGATCATGTAGACTGACATATCTTGTGTTGTGTCAGTATTTCATGTTTAGATCGTGTAGACTGACATATCTTGTGTTGTGTCAGTATTTTATGTTTAGATCGTGTAGACTGACATATCTTGTGCTGTGTCAGTATTTCATGTTTAGATCGTGTAGACTGACATATCTTGTGTTGTGTCAGTATTTCATGTTTAGATCGTGTAGACTGACATATCTTGTGTTGGGTCAGTATTTCATGTTTAGATCGTGTAGACTGACATATCTTGTGCTGTGTCAGTATTTCATGTTTAGATCGTGTAGACTGACATATCTTGTGTTGGGTCAGTATTTTACGTTTAGATCGTGTAGACTGACATATCTTGTGTTGTGTCAGTATTTCATGTTTAGATCGTGTAGACTGACATATCTTGTGTTGGGTCAGTATTTCATGTTTAGATCGTGTAGACTGACATATCTTGTGTTGGGTCAGTATTTCATGTTTAGATCGTGTAGACTGACATATCTTGTGTTGGGTCAGTATTTCATGTTTAGATCGTGTAGACCGACATATCTTGTGTTGGGTCAGTATTTCATGTTTAGATCGTGTAGATTGACATATCTTGTGCTGGGTCAGTATGTTTCATGACATATTTTGGGATCATGTAGACTGACATATCTTGTGCTGTGTCAGTATTTCATGTTTAGATCGTGTAGACTGACATATCTTGTGTTGGGTCAGTATTTTACGTTTAGATCGTGTAGACTGATATATCTTGTGTTGGGTCAGTATTTTACATTTAGATCGTGTAGACTGACATATCTTGTGTTGGGTCAGTATTTCATGTTTAGATCGTGTAGACTGACATATCTTGTGTTGGGTCAGTATTTCATGTTTAGATCGTGTAGACTGACATATTTTGTGTTGGGTCAGTATTTCATGTTTAGATCGTGTAGACCGACATATCTTGTGTTGGGTCAGTATTTCATGTTTATATCTTGTAGACTGACATATCTTGTGTTGGGTCAGTATTTCATGTTTAGATCGTGTAGACTGACATATCTTGTGCTGTGTTGGTATTTCCTGTTCAGATCTTTTCCGCTGTTTTATATCTTCTTGTAGTCTGTGAGTGTTGGACTCTTTTAGTTCCATCATCATCATCATCAGGTGTCTTACCAGTTGTCAAAGGTATTCCTGCATCTCAGTCTTTTGGTGTTTTGGATCAATTCCACTGATGTTATTCCTCCATCTCACTGTCTTAAGCCATCCACCATCATTTCTCTTGATCTACCTCTGCCCCTTCTACCAATGATCTTTCAGTCGTCATATTTTCCAGTGCTTCTATTTTCATCAGATGACGAACGGACTTTGTCTCCTTCTCATTGTTGTATATAATGTTCTACTTTCATTAGCCATTTCCAGGCAGTCATTGTTAGTTATTCTGACAGTCCAAGGTATTCGCAACATTCTTCTCAAGAACCACATCTCAGTTGCCTCTAAAATCTTCCTAATTTGTTTGCACACGGTTCAAGATTCACTGCCATAAAACAGAACTGGCTCAGTATAACATTGCAAAACTTGTTTTCTGACGTTTAATGAAAATGGTTTATTACATAAAAGACTTTTCATCTTGTGAAATGATGCCTTTGCCTGGCCAAGTTCTGCTCTTAATTTCTGTCACACATGGACCATCTGATTGTATGAATGTCCCTAAATACTTGAACTTATTGACTTGCTCAAGCACTTTCCCTTCTGTTGCTATGTCACATTTTGGCCTTATCTGTCATTCAAGGAAAGTCCCTTTTTTGCACTCTCGAGTAGAACAATTACTAATAGTTGTTGTAGGTCTTGTGGGTTTTAAGCTGTCAATACTGTCTCATCTGCATAATGAAGATTGTTTATATTATAATCTTCAACTAGTATTCCTGGTCTATCCTTGAGCTCCCTCATTATTATTTCAATAAAGAGAAAGAAGAGATCCAGTGACAAAACACATCCTTATCTCACTCTTTGCTTTATCTGTTCATAACTGCCTACTTTATTTTCCAATTTAATTGCTGCTTCTTGCTTCCATAAAAAAAATTTTTATTCTAAGATCTTTTCCATCAGTACTAATATCCTCCAACAACTTTATCCTTTTTCACTTTATCAAAAGCTTTGGTGTAATCTATAAAGCACAGATATGTGTATTTCTGTTTCTACATTGATCTTTCTACAAATGTTGCATTATTTGTACCTTTCCCTTCTACAAAACCAAACTGCTCTTCACTAATTTCCATTGTTATTTTCTTTCTTGTTTTTCTAATGATGATTCTGAGTAACAGTTTGGTGACATGGTTTATGAGGTTGATTGTACCAAATTCATCACATTCAATTGTCCCAGCTCTTTTAAGTAGGTAATGCTCTAAATACAGAGTTGAGTTCCATAGGGCAATTACATTCATCATATGTAAGCATGTGTTATGTTCCTTAGATCCCAGAGAGTTATTATAAAGATCATGTAGATTAGTTTATGTCTTGTTATAATTGTGTTGATATTTAATTTATGTAGGTTCGGTTTATTTATTGTGTCAGTATATCATGTATGGATCTTGCTAGCTAATTTGCAAATCTGTTTACAGCATTGAGTGGGTTTTCACCTAACCACAAAATCAGCGGCTTCGAGGAAGCCAAATGCCTGGACAAGTTGAACGAGAGGATGCCACCAAGGAAAGATGTTTTGAATTCAAGCAATAAGGAACACACCAAGTCTTAACTAGGATTCAGTAACCTGTTTGTGCCCCAGCGTGTGTCTGTCTGTGGCTTCAGAATGAGACTGGTCACTTTCTCCTCTTGAACGATGTGATACGTGTTTGATCGGTTGACTTTTCTCATCTTGAATGATGAGATATGTGTTTGATCGGTTGACTTTTCTCATCTTGAATGATGTGATATGTGTTTGATCCGTTCACTTCCCCAATGGTTGATGCTGGTTTTGTGAAACTAAAGACCTGTAATATTTATCTACAATTTCCTTGTGCTGTTTTTCCCTCCCCACGTGCATTATTTGAGCATAGCATTAAATCCTAGATCCTTGAAGTCAACATGCCCATATGTGTGGGTGTCTGTGTGTTCATATATATGTCAGAATCTGTCAACAGCTACATCATATATGCTGAAACAGTATGGATTGTGTCCTCAGGTCTTCTGACAACCTGGCTGGTTGATGTTTCACAACAACTTATCACATGTGTCTTATCAGTAGTGGGCAAATATGACAAACTTATTCTCACATAACATTGGGAGGGAAAGGGGGGGGGGGGCTGTTATTTCAGTTATGTCTATCCTCCATCCATAAACCCTTCTGGAAGTTTCCCACTTGAACCATCTGGGGAAAATCACATTTTATTCAGCCACTTCCCGCCCCTTTAGTGAACAAGTTCTAAATAAATATATATGGTGCTTGTAGTAAATATGGAGTGCCCTTAGCACTGGATCTCTCCCTGAATCAAACAAAGACATGGTCAGTACTGGCCAGGGAAGAAGTAGATCTCTTCCCCCCCCCCCCCCCCCCCCCTCCCCGGCTACTCCATGACAAGTGTTGTAGGTGCTGAAAAGATGTGAGTGGTATCAGGGATTGTTATTCTTCCTTTATCCTCCGATACGATGGCCATAAGTCATCCATTTAATTCATTGACTGTTAGTATGAAGGAGACTGATGAGGCTGGCATGTGCTCGGAAAGTTTGTGGGCAGAAGATGTTAGACACTAGAAAAGGGGCTTCCTGCAATGAGCTTTCTAGCTTGTCTCCATTGTCTTGCCGGGATGGTCCCCACTGCAAAAGAAAGAGCCCAGGAGGACACTTCCGAGAGTTAATTTTCATGACAGTTTTTGTGTGTTTTGAAAAGTAATTGCATTGTTTGCACAATTATTCTTGTCCTACTTATTGGCACACAATTGTTGTGTTCCTGATAAAATGAAGGAAGCATACCCGGTATAAGAGTGGGCTTGTTTATTTCATGTTGTTTCTGCTGGTCATTGCTTCATGGAAAGTGTCCCAATAGTGATGTTGGTTGTAGTTATCATGTAACCAGAGCTGAATTGTATTAAGTTGTATTTTATGACAGTTGTATGTATTTGTAGATACTTAGATGTAGTGACTGTTGGTCAGGCCAGAAATTAGTCACTGTTGTGTGTGTGCAGGAGAGAAGAGCTGATAGTTGACTAGATGTCTAGAATTTTTTTTCTGTGACTTTCTCAAAGAAGTTTTGAGGTGGATTGGTCATATTAGCTTCAATGTTAAGGAATACAATTGTGTAGGGTACATTGAGAATTGTGTGGGGTACATAAAGGATTGTGTGGGGTACATTGAGAATTGTGTGGGGTACATAAAGGATTGTATGGGGTACATAAAGGATTGTGTGGGGTACATTGAAAATTGTGTGGGGTACATTGAGAATTGTGTGGGGTACATAAAGGATTGTGTGGGGTACATTGAGAATTGTGTGGGCTACATAAAGGATTGTGTGGGGTACATAAAGGATTGTGTGGGGTACATTGAGAATTGTGTGGGGTACATAAAGGATTGTGTGGGGTACATTGAGAATTGTGTGGGCTACATAAAGGATTGTGTGGGGTACATTGAGAATTGTGTGGGCTACATAAAGGATTGTGTGGGGTACATTGAGAATTGTGTGGGCTACATAAAGGATTGTGTGGGGTACATTGAGAATTGTGTGGGCTACATAAAGGATTGTGTGGGCTACATAAAGGATTGTGTGGGGTACATTGAGAATTGTGTGGGCTACATAAAGGATTGTGTGGGGTACATAAAGGATTGTGTGGGGTACATAAAGGATTGTGTGGGGTACATAAAGGATTGTGTGGGGTACATAAAGGATTGTGTGGGGTACATAAAGGATTGTGTGGGCTACATAAAGGATTGTGTGGGGTACATTGAGAATTGTGTGGGCTACATAAAGGATTGTGTGGGGTACATAAAGGATTGTGTGGGCTACATAAAGGATTGTGTGGGGTACATAAAGGATTGTGTGGGGTACATTGAGAATTGTGTGGGCTACATAAAGGATTGTGTGGGGTGCATAAAGGATTGTGTGGGGTACATTGAGAATTGTGTGGGCTACATAAAGGATTGTGTGGGCTACATAAAGGATTGTGTGGGGTACATTGAGAATTGTGTGGGCTACATAAAGGATTGTGTGGGGTACATAAAGGATTGTGTGGGCTACATAAAGGATTGTGTGGGGTACATAAAGGATTGTGTGGGGTACATTGAGAATTGTGTGGGCTACATAAAGGATTGTGTGGGGTACATTGAGAATTGTGTGGGCTACATAAAGGATTGTGCAAGCTACACGTTTTGTTGGATAGAGACTACAAAACTGTTGTCAGAGAGATCTGGGAGGACATTGGTAAATTTTTACATAGGTGAGGTTAGAATTTAACAAACAAGATTGAACAACTCAACAGGTCACTTGTGCTGGACACTTAGGTGAACTAACTTCAACAGAGAAAGTTCAAAATGCTCAGAATGTACCAGGAAAAGGTATTGAGAATTATTGAACCAGTATGCTGCTGGCTGGTGACCAGGGTGTCTCAGTTGTCATCCATTTGTAGAAAGTCTCATGTAGTCTGGAAGTGATCAGTGCTGTCTGTTTCAGACAAGGCCTCTCAAGGAGGAGGAGAAGTTACTTCACATCTCAGCATTAGTTAGTTTGGCAGTAGATCTATCTGCATTCTTAAAGACACAAATACCAGTTGTGAATTAGAAATCTGTCGGACACAACTGTGGGGCTTTTATTGCGCACATCATTGTAAGGTGTTATAGACGTCGTCGTGAGGTCTCCTGACGATTTAGTGAGGTCTCATTACAGATGTCATTGTGAGGTCTCTTTACAGAAGCCATTGTGAGGTCTCATTACAGATGTCATTGTGAGGTCTCGTTACAGATGTCATTGTGAGGTCTCTTTACAGAAGTCATTGTGAGGTCTCGTTACAGATGTCATTGTGAGGTCTCGTTACAGATGTCATTGTGGGGACAAGTGTTTTTAGAACTTGACTTTTGCATGGGGGAGCTGGCATCCCTGTATCTGTCACGTGGAGATGAGGATTTCTGCTGTTTGAGAATCCATGGTTTATGTAACTTGTTATTTGATGTTCTACACGTATACTCTGATATCTGGAGAGCTGTAGCAGGTACTTGTGCCATCCTTGACCTGTGTTAGCTTGTGCTTCTACTGGTTGATGTAAACTCTGATATCTGGAGAGCTGTAGCAGGTACTTGTGCCATCCTTGACCTGTGTTAGCTTGTGCTTCTACTGGTGGATGTATACAACTTGATGCCAAGGCTTTGTGCCTGATAGTGGGCTGCTAAACCAACAGTACCTCATGTTACAAGGGTGGCCAATTGGGCACACAGACCTCATGTTACAAGGGTGGCCAATTGGGCACACAGACCTCATGTTACAAGGGTGGCCAATTGGACACACAGACGCATCCAATTCTTCCCTCGTCTTGTTCAACATGAAATAGTACTCACCTGAAACATTATATATGATTACATATTTTCATGCTCCCACCAAAAAACATTGTTTTAATTTCATTTGTAAGTTCATATGCTTTCAAATATTCTTGTCAAATGTAAACATGTAGCACAATCTAGGAGATAGTAGTTACCATGGTTACCTAAAATATCAATAAAACCAGAAGTGGGAAAATACTGAAGCCTGAAAATATCAAATCGTGCTGATTGAAGCCATTTAAGCTTCTTGGCGAACTAGAGCACGCATTTACTTACATGATGTGTGTACAAGAAGGAAACGCTGGAAATCATCAACAACAGAAAAAGTATGAAATAAATAATTGCATACATGGTGAGTGTGAGAAAAGGAAATAGTAGAAATGTTGAGCAGAACTAAAGAGTGGGAGAGGATCTGGGTGAAACAGTCTACAAGTTGTTGAATGATAGGCTTGCACTGGTGATGGTTTACAGCTGTGTTCTTGAATAGGCCAGACTTTGGTTGCTGTAGGCTTGGGTGAATGTCAGTGATGTAGCTCAGGCCAGACTCTGGTTGCTGTAGGCTTGGGTGAATGTCAGTGATGTAGCTCAGGCCAGACTCTAGTTGCTGTAGGCTTGGGTGAATGTCAGTGATGTAGCTCAGGCCAGACTAGTTGCTGTAGGCTTGGGTGAATGTCAGTGATGTAGCTCAGGCCAGACTCTAGTTGCTGTAGGCTTAGGTGAATGTCAGTGATGTAGCTCAGGCCAGACTCTGGTTGCTGTAGGCTTGGGTGAATGTCAGTGATGTAGCTGCCAGACTCTATGCTCAGCTTGGGTGAATGTCAGTGATGTAGCTCAGGCCAGACTCTGGTTGCTGTAGGCTTGGGTGAATGTCAGTGATGTAGCTCAGGCCAGACTCTGGTTGCTGTAGGCTTGGGTGAATGTCAGTGATGTAGCTCAGGCCAGACTCTAGTTGCTGTAGGCTTGGTTGAATGTCAGTGATGTAGCTCAGGCCAGACTCTGATTGCTGTAGGCTTGAGTGAATGTCAGTGATGTAGCTCAGGCCAGACTCTGATTGCTGTAGGCTTGGGTGAATGTCAGTGATGTAGCTCAGACCAGACTCTGGTTGCTGTAGGCTTGGTTGAATGTCAGTGATGTAGGTCAGGCCAGACTCTGGTTGCTGTAGGCTTGGTCGAATGTCAGTGATGTAGGTCAGGCCAGACTCTAGTTGCTGTAGGCTTGGGTGAATGTCAGTGATGTAGGTCAGGCCAGACTCTGATTGCTGTAGGCTTGGGTGAATGTCAGTGATGTAGCTAAGGCCAGACTCTGGTTGCTGTAGGCTTGGGTGAATGTCAGTGATGTAGCTCAGGCCAGACTCTGGTTGCTGTAGGCTTTGTTGAATGTCAGTGATGTAGCTCAGACCAGACTCTGATTGCTGTAGGCTTGGTTGAATGTCAGTGATGTAGCTCAGGCCAGACTCTGATTGCTGTAGGCTTGGGTGAATGTCAGTGATGTAGCTCAGGCCAGACTCTGGTTGCTGTAGGCTTGGGTGAATGCTGATTGCTGTAGGCTTGGGTGAATGTCAGTGATGTAGCTCAGGCCAGACTCTGATTGCTGTAGGCTTGGGTGAATGTCAGTGATGTAGGTCAGGCCAGACTCTGATTCCTGTAGGCTTGGGTGAATGTCAGTGATGTAGGTCAGGTCAGACTCTGATTGCTGTAGGCTTGGGTGAATGTCAGTGATGTAGGTCAGGCCAGACTCTGATTGCTGTAGGCTTGGTTGAATGTCAGTGATGTAGGTCAGGCCAGACTCTAGTTGCTGTAGGCTTGGGTGAATGTCAGTGATGTAGGTCAGGCCAGACTCTGATTGCTGTAGGCTTGGGTGAATGTCAGTGATGTAGCTCAGGCCAGACTCTGGTTGCTGTAGGTTTGGGTGAATGTTAGTGATGTAGTTCAGGCCAGACTCTGGTTGTAGGTCGTCTCTTGTACGCAGTTGAAATGCTGACTAGGAGGAGAGAAATGTTAGACACAGTGGCATGAGCGCAGTTTGCTTTGTTGCACAACTTGCCATTGACTTCAGGGGAGGAGTCCTGCATGTTGACCAGCAACATCTGACAGTTTGTGTGGTCTTCTAGTACCGGCACCAGGTCAAGCATCCCATCAAGTGCAATGTGAGTTTCAGAATGCCTTACATCTTGATCTCAGTACACTATTTTCCTTTGCCAGGTTGATTGGGGGAGGGGGGTAATTTTAATGCTGTGCCTTCTCCACAATGAAGGTCGCCTACAGTGTACCACTGTTGCCTTTGGAAAAAGTGTGTGGTGAGGCCCCAATCTCTTCCACTGTGCAACTCTTTTACTACTGACCAAAAACTATGGGAATTATTTTATGGTTTGTTTTGTTTTTAAGCGTCCACCACAGGAATGAAACCTTAGTACTGGAGGGTCACAAAATTGCTAACTTCATTGGCCAACCCCAGAGCTGCATCTGGTGGTGATATGTATAGACATATGAATTTATGTTGCTCTAATTGGTTATGCTGTTCTGCAGTCTGCCAAGTTTTTGCAGTATATCACTTGTGTAAGTCCAGTCTCGGCAAAGAGATTGCAGGTGGGGGTCATTGATTAGATGGGTACAGACAAGCCTGTCCCAGAATGAAACCCTTGAGTTTGTTACCTGTTTGATATCAAGGATGTCATCTTGCTGACAGGATTCAACCCTAGGTGCAGAGTCGGTAGCTGTAGTCATTGTTACTTGAAAACTATTTTAGAGAATGCTTGGGTCTGGTACCAGATTGGAGTTCACTGAAAGTAATTAGTTCAAGTGTGGGGAAGTAGAATGTCTTTTTCTAGAGGTTTGGTTCCAGATTGGAGTTCACTGAAAGTAATTAGTTCAAGTGTGGGGAAGTAGAATGTCTTTTTCTAGAGGTTTGGTTCCAGATAAAAGAAATAGTATTGATCTAACTGTTTAAATGGTGTTTACATGATAGTAAGTGAGATGGGAAGTTGATAGGTGATGTGGGAAATCGGTAGATGAACTGATAGGTGATGTGGGAAATGGGTAGATGAACTGAAAGGTGATGTGGGAAATGGATTGAAGAACTGATAGTTGGTGTGGGAAACGGGTTGATGAACTGATAGGTGAGATTGGAAATGGGTAGATGAACTGATAGGTAATGTGGGAAATGGGTTGATGAACTGATAGGTGAGATGGGAAGTTGGTTGATGAACTGATAGGTGATGTGGGAAATGGGTTGATGAACTGATAGATGAGATGGGAAATGGGTAGATGAACTGATAGGTGATGTGGGAAATGGGTAGATGAACTGATAGGTGATGTGGGAAATGGGTTGATGAACTGATAGGTGAGATGGAAAATGGGTCGATGAACTGATGGGTGAGATGGGAAATGGGTAGATGAACTGATAGGTGATGTAGGAAATGGGTTGATGAACTGATAGGTGAGATGGGAAATGGGTAGATTAACTGATAGGTGATGTGGGAAATGGGTTGATGAACTGATAGATGAGATGGGAAATGGGTAGATGAACTGATAGGTGATGTGGGAAATGGGTAGATGAACTGATAGGTGATGTGGGAAATGGGTTGATGAACTGATAGGTGAGATGGAAAATGGGTCGATGAACTGATAGGTGATGTAGGAAATGGGTTGATGAACTGATAGGTGAGATGGGAAGTTGGTTGATGAACTGATAGGTGATGTGGGAAATGGGTTGATGAACTGATAGGTGATATGGGAAGTGGATAAATAAACTGACTGATGAGAAATGAGTTAGTGAATTCATAGTTTGGAAATTGGCAGAAGGTGGGGGGGGGGGGGGGATTGGATTGATGAATTGATATGTAGAACGGTGAATTGGGTTGATAAGTAGGGATGTGAATTGGGTCAGTGGACTGATATTTGGGATGGTGAATTGGGTTGATGAGACAGTGAGATGAGATACATGTGTGTGTTTGTGAGATTTGAGATTATAGGCTGGGATTGTGGGATGAGATATCGATTTGATGAGCATTCATTATAGACAGGGTGGTAAAAAGGTAAATATATGAGTTGT